AACTAAAACTTTGTGACTTCCTACTGTTTTTCAAATAATAAACTCTTGAATACAAGTGTTTAGCTAATAACCTTAACACTTTCTAGCCTTATTCTCCCTTGTTTCCCATAGAAGAATAGGAAAAAGTAAAACTCGAAGTTACTTTTCGTAGCCTTCTTCTACTTTATTATTTTTTTAATTGCTAAAGGGTACTTGTGCTCACTAGACAGAGAGATGTAAAAGAGGGAGAAAGCACCATCGTCTTTACTTCATGAGAGCTGATTACACAACACTCTTTTCTCCATTCCTCCATCCTGTTGGGATTTGGGGCATACAGGCACATGCTCCATGTATTTTTAAAGCCACCAATATAAGACAAACTAGTCAGCCATGTGAATTCCAGTTCCCTTAACATGTAGCTCACAGGCTGACTCTGCTTCACTTTTTAGGGAAGCTTGAAAACATGCATTGTTTTGCTTATTCCAACTGATGGTTAATGCTAGCTACATAGATTTATTAAAGTGGATATTTTGTCTCCAGTTGATTAATGTTAGCTACATTTATTAAAGTAGGTATTTTGTCCAGAGGGCTCACTATTTTTAAAAACTGTGATAATCTCAAAATCTGTTTTCTGGAATAAAAATCACTGTACGACTTACCTTTAAAGAAAAAAAATGATCTGTTTGTCCTGTTTTTCAAGGCACCGGGTCCAGGACTCAAACTGTGATTAACCCTGTGAGTATCTGGGAATCCAGAGCCTTTAGCCACTATGCCACCTGCTGGCCCCAGACATAACTTTTGCACTGCCAAAAGATTAACAAATACCAACCTGTGTGTCAGCACTGCTCTAGCACTGGGGTACAGCAATGAAAGAAGTACCTGTTGTCACAGCTTATATTCTAGATGCAGATGACTAACGTAGTGGGACTAGCTGTCCTGGTTTGCCCAAGAGTGAAGGGTTTCTTAGGATGGAGGACATTGCGAAAAGACTGTGTATGACTTCTAAGTCTAGGTCACAAAAGACATTGTGGCTCTACTCTGCTGTTCTCAGGGGTAGCCAGTTGCCAGGTTATGAGAACAAACAGCACTATGGACCACGACCCACCCACTTAATGAGAAACCAGAAACTTTTGTTATCAGTCATGTAAAGTCACCTTTCAAGAACCTGCGGCCCAAGAGAAATAAGGACAAACCTTCAGATCACTTCACCGTGGTTGTCATGTTCACTGCAACCAACTTCATGAAATCCTGAGTTAGAACCACCAGCTATGTCAAATGACTGATTAATAAACTGTGATCCTGACTTTTGAGGTAATTTGATACATAGTAATGGACAACTCATGCAGTTCTACAGAGAAAAGTTATGCCTGATAAGGAGAGTTGGGAGTGGGCATTATTATTATTTTCCCCTAAAGTCTATTCGTCTTCTCTGTAAGTAAGAGACAGAGAACCCTCTCAGGGTCCTGACATGCAATCCACCCCAGCCTTCAGTCAACCTCTGATCATGGGAGCACAAGAGCCTAGAGTACTCTGGAAGGTTTCTCCAGCAACCTTCCTATGTGGGACTGCCTCGCTGTATTGGCTGTGCTACTGTCTTACCCAAATAGACACTATTTTTGATAAAAAGAGTTTGTAAAAACCTTTCCTATGGGAAGGCATTCAAAAAATTCATGGAAATGTGTATTATTTAAAAAAAGTATACATAGGGGCCAGCAGATGGCATAGTGGTTAAGGTACTGGACTCCCACATGGCAACCACGGTTCAACTCCTGGACTTGGCAGCTTGAAGTTCATGCCAGGCGCATGTGCATGCATGCCCAAAATCCCAGGAGAATGGAGAAGGGATTGCTCATGGCCATCCCCTGCCGGGGGGTCATTTCTCCCTTTCCCTCTCACTGTCTCTGTCTCTCTGGTCACTGCGAGAGTCCTAAGGGAAAAACAACAACAAACAAAAACAAAACTACACATAGATTCCAAAATTTTTTTGCACCAAAATAAATTGGAACTTTAATTTTTTCCCACAAACTTTCAGAAAAGTTTATTTACTCATGATGGTGCATATACTTGAGAAATACAGGTACCGTTGACAGGTGATTCTGGTCCCCCAGCTTGTCAGAATGTTGGGTGCCTGCGCTTAGCATTTTTCACAACCTTTTTGAAGTACAATTTTCACAATGTTTTAGAAGTACCTTCACAAAGGCATTTGGACAGAAAAAGTAAGGGAGCTAGTTAGCAAAAGGACATTCCAAACAAAAGACTCAGTACCAACAAAAGGTGCTTACTGAATTAGCCATGTTAGAACATCCAAAGTGTCATTGTGACTTAAGTGGGTTGAACAAGGTAGAGAAAGGGGCATGTGGTAGGAGATCCAGTAGGGCCTCATGGAACAAAAAAGTGTTTGGATTGTACTCTGAGGTCAGTGAAGCCACTGGACGATTGTGAACAAAAACAGACAGCCTGACCTATATTTTAAAAAGCATCTTATCTTTGGTGCTGTTGGCAGCTTGGCTTCTGAACATGAAACGTTCAGCCCTATAACAAGGCTGACTGGTTCGGCACTACAGATGATCTATGACTACTTCAAGCCTTTAAAGGTCATGTTTTTTACGGAACTGTCATGCCCGTTTTATGAGGTTACATGAGCAACCGAGCACCTAAAATAGGGCTAGCTTTGATTGAGATGTGCTGTTAATTGTAAAATACACACTGGATCTCCAAGATTCAGTATCAACAAAAGAACGTAAAACATCTCATTAATCCTTATGTGTTGATTACATGTTGAAATGATATTTTGGATATATTGGGTAGAAGAAATTTTGCCTATTTTACATCTTTTTTATTTTTTTTCAAGAGGTTTTTGCTATAGGGCATGTGTGCTTGCTGGAAAGACAGAGACAGAGAGAAAGCGAGAAGTCATCCCCCCAAGGGATGACCACACCCCAATCCCTTCTATTCTCCTCTTGGAATCTTGGGCACATCCGGTACACAAGCCCTAGTGAGTTTAAGCCACTGGATCTGGAACTCAAATCGCGGTCTGACTACATGGGAGTACAGTGACATAGCCATTATGCCAACTGCTGGTCCCTCATCTATTTTTTTTTTTTTTTAACTTTGAGTTATCTTTTCTTTTTCTGAGAGGTTTTGTTTGTTCTAGAGGGTACGTGGGCTTGCCAGAGACACAGACAAAGTGAGGAATCACCCACCAGGAGAAGATGGCCAGCTGCAATCCCTTCTCCATTCTCGTCTTGAGCAGGCACCACATACACACACACACAGACTTGCGCGCAAGAGTTTCAAGGCGCTGGTTCTGGGACTCGGTACCCCAACCACCATGCTATATTTAGGTTTTTGCTATAAGACACAATCTCTGGAGAGAGAGTGAAAAATCACCCCAGGAGGGATGGCTACCCATTGAGTCATTTCTCCTCTAGTCCTCTTGGGATTTTGGGCACAACACTGCTGCCCAGCATGATTTTCAAGCCACCAGGTCCTGTACTCAAACCCAGAGCCAACCATGAGAGAGTCCAGCGCTTTAACCACCACGACACCTGCTGGCCCCTCTTTTTTCACTTTTTAAAAATGCGTCTACTGTTAACATTTAAAATTGCATGTGTGGCTTGGATTACGGCCTACTAGACAGCATCCTGGTTGTGCTAGTCACACTTTACCCGCGGACTCCCCCGAGAGTTTCGCTAGCGCCCTTCACAGGACCCAGCACTGAGGAAAGGCCGAGCCTGCGATCTGGACCATCCGGTTTTCCTGTCAACGTGTCCGGCTAGCACGGGGAAGGGCTCCGGTGGTCCCACCCAGGGCTAAAGTTTGGCAGCCATCAAAAATGGATGTAGTTTTCGCGCCATCCATTCACTCTGCTGCAGGGGTTCATCGCGCAGTTCTCCGAGCCCGGGGCCGGCCGTAGCACTCTCGGCCTTCCAGGACCAGGACAGCTCCGGAGGCTCCTCTCTTCACCTCTCCTATAGCGGCCGCCCTAATGGCGTCACAGGGCTCGCCACGACCACAAAGGAAAGCAACCGGGTGGGCGCGGCGCCCTTCAATCAACAGCCGCCTCACTTCGGGCGGATCCAGGATCTGGTTAGCCATACGCTTCCTTCATCTTCCGGGGCCTCGGCGCGGCGGGGGCGTGGCCACGGATAGGCGGGATTTCCTGTCTGGAGTGAATAACTTCCGGCGGGTACCGGAAGTTCCCCAGTAGGAGTAGGGAAGCCAGCGCGAGCTGGGCTTCTTGGTGGAGCTGAAGAGTGCTAAGTTCGGAGGCTCTGTGGGGCCGGGGTGCTGGTCAGGTTCGTGGGTTGGTTCCCTCTTATTCCTCGCCTGGCGATGGCGACGTACACCTGCATCACCTGCCGGGTGGCGTTCCGCGACGCGGAGATGCAGCGGGCCCACTACAAGACGGACTGGCACCGCTACAACCTGCGGCGGAAAGTGGCCGACATGGCTCCGGTCACTGCCGAGGGCTTCCAGGAGCGGGTGCGGGCGCAGAGGGCCGTGGCGGAGCAGGAGAGCAAGGGCACGGCCACCTACTGCACCGTGTGCAGTAAGAAGTTTGCCTCCTTCAACGCCTACGAAAACCACCTTAAGTCCCGGCGACACGTGGAGCTGGAAAAGAAGGCTGTGCAGGCCGTGAATCGGAAAGTGGAGATGATGAATGAAAAGAACTTGGAGAAAGGACTGGGTGTGGACAGCGTGGACAAGGATGCCATGAACGCGGCCATCCAGCAGGCCATCAAGGCTCAGCCGTCTATGTCTCCCAAGAAGGCGCCCCCAGTGCCTGCGGAAGAGGCCCAGAGTTCTGTGGCGGTGGCAGCTGGCGGGCGTGTGACTCACGAACGAGACCCGGCGGAGAAGCCGCCCCGGCTCCAGTGGTTTGAACAGCAGGCGAAGAAGTTGGCAAAGCAGCAGGCGGACGACAGTGCGGAGGAGCAGGAGGAGGAGGACCTGGATGGAGATGGTAATGGTCCTAACGGGGGTGGAGGGGATATTGGCTCTTCTTTAGTTTCCAGATTTATATTCGAGGTGGGTGGCGCGCGTGTGTGTGTGTGTGTGTGTGTGTGTGTGTTGATACCTGAGATTGGGTATTTTCATATAAAAATGAGTGGTTTAGATGCTTTCTGAAGCTCTAGCAACCCTATAGGGGGGAGTTTTAATTTTGTCTTTTTAGTCAGTGTTGTAGATTGAGGGCCTAAAACCTTACCTGGAAAAAGAGTAGATGTTTAATAAATATTTGTAGAATATAGATGCCTTCTGTGTTTTGAATGAGATTTTTAGTATATGCATAAAAGGACATGCTGTCACACCATCTGCTGTAGAATTTGTGAGTATGGTGGGTTTCCAGTTTAATGGTTTTAATTTAGCTAATTAAAACAGAAAAAGAGGCCCAGAATCCGCAGGCAAACCTGAAATGTGGAGCTTGAGCCAGCAATCTAGGCTCCTTGATTTTATGAGCTATTCCTTCTCTTGCCCTGTTTGTATGTGTCAATGTCTTAATCCATTTGTGCTGCTATAACAAAATACCTGAGATTGGGTAATTTATATACAACAAATGTATCTTCCTACCATTCTGGTGGTCAGAAGTGAAAGATCAGGGCATTAATGGATTAGGTGTCTAATGAAGGCCTATTCCATAGTTAGACCCTTCTCAAGGTGTCCTCACTTGGTGGAAAAGGGAGAAGACAAAAAAGGATTAGCTAGTTCCTTAGAAACGTTTTAGAAAGGCCCAAATTTAATCATGAGGGCACAGCCCTCATAACTTAAAGGCCCCAACTTCACCCTGCCACTGCCACCACCATCACCACACACACGCACATGCACACACACAAACACGATGGTACTTCTGTGAAATGGTAAATACTGACATTGCTGTTTATAGAAAGATTCAGCCAGATGTGAGACCACTTAACTATGTATTCACCACTGGGCTAGAGCCTCCAAAGCATAGAAAAGAATCAAAAGACTCTTTCAAGGAGTTCATGTGTACTGGAAAAGAAAGATTAAGGAGTTGCTTATAACCATAAAAACTGATCTAGAATAAAGAGATAGCTAATATTTAGATCTTGAAAGAGGTTTTTGTCTGCAGGAGGATGTAATTAACACCCTGTTTCTCCATGTATAAGATTATACTACCTTGTATATCTTTGTAGTTACTACTTTTCTTAAACTAACTTTGCTTTTCAAAATTTTGGCTTGAAGATTGGGAAGATATTGATTCTGATGAAGAATTGGAGTGTGAGGATTCTGAAGTAATGGATGATATGGAGGAGCAGGATGCAGAGGAGGAAGAGGCTGGGGGAAGTCCACCTGTTGGTGCCATTCCTATAACAGACTGCTTATTTTGTTCCCATCATTCAAGCTCCCTTATGAAAAATGTGGCTCATATGACTAAAGTCCACAGCTTCTTTATTCCTGATATAGAATATCTTTCAGATCTTAAAGGCCTGATTAAATATTTGGGTAAGTATAATTGTTTTCCTTTTAATTAGGCAGTATCATTTTCGAGGGAGACAGGTCCTAAGAGGAACAAATATTTCGTGTTTCATATCAATCTGACTTAATTATGTTATTAATACCAAAACCTTGAGTGTTTTTTTGAATCGCGGAGATATGGTGAGATTTAATCTTGCTGCAAAAAGCTGTTTTCATACTTTTCCCCTCAAATTATTTTTCCAGGAGAGAAAGTTGGAGTTGGGAAGATTTGCTTGTGGTGCAATGAAAAAGGGAAATCCTTCTACTCCACAGAGGCTGTACAGGCACATATGAATGACAAAAGCCACTGTAAGCTCTTCACAGATGGTGATGCTGCTTTGGAATTTGCAGACTTCTATGATTTTAGGTAAATCTGTGGTTTATAATGTGAACCGAATGAGGTCATCGTACTTGGATTGAAGTGACACTAGAGCAGATGTTCTAGTGCTTGATCAGTGTCTGGCACTGTACAGTATTAATAATCCTTATGAATAGGCCTATGAGGCAGTCATTTTATCTCATTTTGTAGATGAGAAATTAATTCAGTTTAACACAGCTAGTAAACAAAAACTGGCAGAACCAAACTGAAGTCACTCTGACTGTGTGTGTGCATATATGTGTGTTTAAGTCAGGAGCTTAGTTTTGCACAGAGGTATGAAGGTTTCATTTCACATGTTGCTTTCCTGAGGATCCTTGAGGCCTTCTATGGGAGTTGAGATGGTTGCTAAACTAGGGCAGACCCAGACATTTGATTGTGAGATTATTCCATAGGTGGCTCAACCAAGTGGGATCTTGATCTGGTTGAGTTTCCCTTACCTGAAATACTTGGGACCAGAAATGTTTCTGATTTGTGTTCTTTTTAAATTTTATAATATTGTTTTTATTTCATAATATTTCATAACCAGATACCTTGACCACTGAAGTGTAAACAGGGAGTTCATTTATGTTTCATATGCACCTTATATGCATAGGCTGAAGATAATTCTGTACAATATTTTTAGTAATTTTGTGTATTTTGAGCCACCAGGAAGCAAAATTGTCTTATGTTAGCCACAGAATTATTTGTGGGCCTTTTTGACATTTTTTACAATGTCTTTACACCACAGAGCAGAGAATAAGCAAGCTAACAAAGTCAGTAATTCATGTAGGTCTTGGTTGTCTCCTTATTGGGCATCCTGGGGAACTTTCTGTTGGTGTGTTTGACATGCCATTTTATTCCCTTTTGTGGGCATGCTTATGAAGGAGAATCTGGGTGTACATAGAAAAGATAGCTGATTTAAAGGGAGCTGGGAGAGTCTTTGGGCGTAATCCATTTTGGGCACCTGCATTTGACCGTGACTGGCACATGAGGTCATATGTGGAATTTTCTATTGTCATTGTGCCAGAAATTTTGGATCTTGTATCCAAATTTTTGGGTTTTTGAATTAGGGATGTACAACCTGTAATTCACACATCATGTAGTAAATTAATATTAGATCCTTGTGAACAACTGGTTCCTATCATCACTATGACCTAGTACAGGAGATAAGCAAGTATGTGTAATTACCATGTCCGACTTCTATAGTCCAAGTAATATACCTGTTCAGAAGAATCTTAAGTCTTTTTGCATTTTCTCCCTGATTTCTCATTTTGCACTTGGGAACTTTGACTCGGTAAAGTCGGTGGACATAACCAAACAGAAATGGTGGTAGTTGAGAAGATTGGTTAAGTTCCTGCTGGAGGTGGAATATATCCTCTTCTAGGCAGGGGCATTTATCCCTCTCAAGTCTCCTTTTGACTGCAATATTTTTAACCTTTTGATCAGTTTTATTGTAATCAGATTGGTCAAAGCAAATACAGAGACTGAGTCAAGTGGCTGCAACCAGAAGCTGGCTTGAAATGCTAGTCTTCAACTTCATCTGTCCACATTTGGTCCCTGTGGTTATATTCAGGATCTTACCTTGTCAAGTAGGAAGTGTCTAGTACCTTCTGCAGTCTCATAACTCCCAGTTTTATCTCTCTATAGTCTTCCCTTACCTCCAGACTTACTCAGCCACCTTCTTGACATTTCTACTTACATGTCCAGAAGGGATCATTCACTTAACATGTCCAAAATCAAACTGCTGCTGTGTATCGTAACCTGCTTCTCCCCAAATAAATTCATCTCTGTTCTGGTTACCGAAGCCAAAACCTTGCAGTCATCTCTTACTCTTCTGGCTCTCATGGTTACGTAAATCCATCACTGAATCCAATTTTATCTGTCTGCAAATTATCTTGTGTGTGAGTACTTGTCACTACCTCCACTGCTCCTTTGCACATCTGGGTCAGCTGACTTGCAACAGTAGTCTCCCACCTGCCTAGTATCCTTACTTTCCTCTACTACTCCCTGCATTCTATTCTCAAAACTGTAGCCAGAGGGGTCCTTTTAAAACATTAAGTTATTGTAGATTAAACTCTGCTCAAAATTTCCAAGGGCTTCCTATTTTACGAGAATTTTAGAAGTAAAAGTATATTGGCATAAAGGGCCCTACATGATCTGGCTCCAGCAATAGTTCTGATTTTGTCTATTTCTTGCTCTTTGGATTTCTAGCTGTTCCTCTAATACATGAAGGGTGTATATCAGGACCTTTGCACTTGAAGTTATCATTGCCTATAACCTTTGCTCAAATATTAACATGACTCATTCTCTCATTTCCTGTAGCGTTTGACATGAATTTCATGTTGTTATGACCTTCCTTGAGCACCTTTTATGAAATATAACAGCACCTGTCCAATCCTTCTTTTTTATTACTGTTTTATTTTCTCATAGCTCTTACTGCTATTTGTCTTATATGTTATTTATTGTCTCTCTGCTTCTACAATCTAAGCTGCAAAAGAGTGGGGCCACTTGTTATTGTTTACTAGTTGTAGTTCAGACTTAGTTTGAATTAAAATATATAACTGATGTAAATGGTTCAAGAAATGAATTCCCCTTGGTCTCAGTGATACTTTTCTATACTTCATTTATGAGGTTTTATTCACTTGGTGCTAGAAATGAGAAATGGTATGAGCCTTTATAAAAATGAGTACTAAGTGATTAGTTTCCCTTAAAAAAAAGCAAAAGTTGATAATGCTTAATGAAGAAAACCTAGAAAATAGCCTTCAAACAGAAAGCTAACATTGAGTTGAGTGCTTACTACCTGCAAGACATTGTTCTAATAACACTTTAGGTGGATTCACTCAATTAAAATATGACAAACTGCCTATAATTTCACCCTTGTTCCCACATTACCTAGAGTTAACTTATTTTGGACTTGAAACTTTCTTTTGAAGAGTAAACTTACAGAAAAGTATGCATAGGTACAATTATGATAACATTATTCATTCAGCCTGATGAAATTTTAAATATAACTAGCACCCAGAACAAGAAACAACATTAATAGGAGTAAGACAGTGCAGCGATATAACACAATGCTCTGTGATGCTGACCCACATGGGAAGGTTCTCTGTTCAAGTCCAGAGATTTTCCAGAGTATGCCTGGTACTTGCTGCTTCTGATTCTAGGCTGGCCAAAGGCTGGGAGTAGGTCATGGTGTTGGGGCCCTATAAGGGGTGCTGTCTCTTTGTCTCTTGCTCTTCAAAGAAATAAAGTTAGAAAAAAGAAACAACATTCATAATGTATACCTGTGTATTTTCCTTGCACCTCCTTCTAGGAGCTGCTACTTTCTCTAAGAGTAACTACTGAATAGATTGGTTTGTCCTGTTTTTGTACTATACATATGTATGTATATATGATCACAAAGACTGTGCTTTTTTGATTCTGCTGACTTTTGCTTAATTTTATATTTGTGACATTCATCCTTAGAATTACATATGGTCATAGGACATTAATTCTCACCATTGTAGTCTTCTGTTGAATATCTACTCTATTGTTGATATACTTTTGAATAGTTTCCAGTTGGTGCTATTGCAAACATTGCTGCTACATCATTCTAGGATGTATCTTTTGGCAAACATGCACACATTATCTGTTGTGTATGTATTTAGGAGTTGGGCTAGAGAATATACATATGTTCAGTTTCAGAAGATACTGTCAAATTGTTTTCCAAAGTGTTTGTCTCTACTCCCACTTACAGTGAGAGAGAACTTTTAATTTTAGCCACTTTGGTGGGTGTGTAGTGGCTTTAATTTGCATCTTTCTGATGATGAATAATGCAGTGGAGGGCCTTTATATGTATTAATTTCTTTTGGGTACCTTTTTTTTTTTTTTTTTGGAGAGGTTTTTGCTATAGGGCGCATGCTCTTGCCAGACAGACAGAGAGAGACAGAGAGATAGAAAGCGAGAAATCACCCCCCAGGGGGGATGGCCACACCACAATCCCTTCTCCTCCATTCTCCTCTCTGGTTCTTGGGCATGCACGCACATGTGCCCGGCGTGAGTTTAAGCCACCAGGTCTGGGACTCGAACCGCGGTCGACTACGTGGGAGTCCAGCGACATAGCCATTACGCTAACCGCTGGTCCCCCTTTTGGGTACCTTTTTATGAGCTGTTTGATAAATCTTTTCTGTTGGGTTGTCTGGCTTACTATTAATATTTTAATGTGCATTTTTCCAATTATTTTCCATGTGTATGTATGCATATGAATCTTAGACCATTTCTAAACAGTAACTGCTAATTGCAGTTGGTTATCTAAATTAATTAAAAGTTAAATTAAAAAATTCAAGGCCAGTCCTGTAGCATAGCACATAGATGCTGTAGTTTAAGCCACCAGGTCTGGGACTCGAACCGCGGTCGACTACGTGGGAGTCCAGCGACATAGCCATTACGCTAACCGCTGGTCCCCCTTTTGGGTACCTTTTTATGAGCTGTTTGATAAATCTTTTCTGTTGGGTTGTCTGGCTTACTATTAATATTTTAATGTGCATTTTTCCAATTATTTTCCATGTGTATGTATGCATATGAATCTTAGACCATTTCTAAACAGTAACTGCTAATTGCAGTTGGTTATCTAAATTAATTAAAAGTTAAATTAAAAAATTCAAGGCCAGTCCTGTAGCATAGCACATAGATGCTGTGCAAAGGAAGTTGGATCCCACATGACCAACCAGGGTTTGAGTCCTGGCCCTGTGTGTGAACTTGAAAAATATGCCAGCCATGCATGTGCCCAGGATCCTAGTGGGATAGAAAATTGAGGAAAATGGTTGCAGCATGACCAGGCTCCACTGAGGAGTATCTTTTTCTTTCTCTTTTGTACGCATGGTTGCATCCTCGCATTTAGTAAAGAAATAAATGAAGATTAAATTTTTTCATATATACTACCTGCACTTTTAAAATGTTCAGTACTTGAGAACCCCTTTACTAAAGCTAGCGTGTGGAACACACAGACATAGAACCCTTCTTTCATCAGAGTTCTGTTGGATAGCTCTGTTCTAGAATTTGGTTTTAGAATGGTTAAATTGACTAGAGCTGCATGTCCAGTTCTACATTATCCTCTTCTTCCTCTCTATTTGACAACCTTCTTTAGGGAGAAACAAGTGGGAGAAAATAGTTGTTACAGGTCATTGGTTCACCTTTCAACAGAGAAAATCCTAACAGGTTGTTTTTTTCTCACAAACCTTCTTCCTACCTTTTATGTAGCTAGTGGGGTTTCCACATTTCAATTTATACCTTCTAGTGAAGTTTGAAGTATTAATCTATTTTATTAATGCCATTTTACAATTACAGGAGTAGCTACCCAGATCACAAGGAAGGGGAGGACCCTGATGAGGCTGAGGAGTTTCCCTCAGAAAAGAACTTGGAATATGATGATGAAACCATGGAACTGATTCTGCCTTCTGGTGAGGACATTTATCAAAAATAAATGGACTGGTGCTAATGGGTTTGTGGGAGAGGCGTATCTCTGTCACTGACATTCCGTAATGAGGGGATTAGAGCATAAAACTGCAAGTGCATATTTATCTTCTCGTGTCCATGGTAAACTCCGAAGGTTGCACTTAGCTGTAAGTTGGCTGTTTTGTTTAAATTGGATCTATATTTATTTTCTAATTTCTGTTACGACTCCATGTTTTGATCAGGCATTTCTTTTTTAAAAGAAGTATGTAGAACTTTTCTGTTCTTTATCTATTAAGTTGTTGGGAAAGTCGGGACTCAAATGTCCTTTTTAGGTCCTCTCTAGTTTTTTCTTGTTATTTTTATTCACTTATTTACTTATTTATTTTTGCCATAAGGTGCATACACTCTCTGGAAAGAAACAGAGAGAAAGTGAGAAGTCACCCCCCCACACACAAGGAGGTGGCCACACTGCAGTCCCTTCTCCTCCATTCTCTTCTTGGGATTTTGGGCGTGTATGCTCATGTGCCTGGTGTAATTTTCAAGTTGCTGGGTCTAGGACTCAGAACGTGGTTGGCCATAAGGGAATCCAGCACCTTAACTGCCACGTCACTTACTGGCCCCTTTCTTATTATTCTTGACTTTAGCTCTCAGTCTTTGTACTGATTCCTATTTCCTTAAGTTGCTCTGATTTCTAAATAGTAGTCGGGCATGGACATATCTGACAGACAGCACCTGGGTTGTCTGTCTTCATTCTAGTTTTAGGGAAGCCTGCAGTCTGAATTCTGCCTTGTGCTGTGGGAAACAGGACCCATAGTGGAAATTTCTCTCTGGTTTGAAAAAGTAGAGAATAACCGTGAATCTGAGAAGTATCCACTGTTTGTTTTGTGGGAAGAAAGAAATGGGTTTAGCGTGGGGAAAGTTACAGAAGGCAAGTATGAGAAGTGAAAGGGAATGGAAAAGTAGAAATGATAATAAGATCCGAATTTACCTGATACTGAGCTGTCAGCATGTTCAGGCTTTACAACAAACAAGCCTGCAAGTTAGATTCTGTCATCCTTATTTGATACATGATGCTTAGAGAGATTGAGTAACTATCCAAGATCACGCGGTCAGTGAAGCGCTTTTCCCGATTTCCAACACTGCCTAATAGTGGGGGCAGGAGCAGCACACCCTGGCAGTAGAGATGTGTGTGATGAAGAAGCAACTCTGCAGTGTAGACTATCACTACACAGATACAGACTTGATAATGACTGCCTTCTAAGGCTGAGGGCAGCTGTAGAGTGTGACAGTAGATGGAGGGGCAGGCAAAACCTGTCGTGATTCAGTTCTCCTTTCATGTTGAGAAAGTTACAATGCAGTATAATTTTGTGGCCTGAATAGTACACAGTTTTACAACATAGTTGTAAAAACCAAAATATAAACATGGAAAACACCTAATCTAGTTTTCTTCTGGTGAAAATACTAACACAGAACATGAGAAATATGCTGAATAACTTATTTTCTAAGACTGTTTAACCACTTGTCTCATTAGTTTCTTTTTACCTGTAGAATAAGAACAGATTTTAGATAAATGGAATAAGATGATTCTTGTAAAGCAATATCTGACTTGTAGGATAGCCGTAAAATTTGTTTCATTCTGCATTTACGTTAGCATGCCATGTTATAAGAAAATGTATATATTCTGTGTAAAAAATATATTTAAGAAGTTTTCATCTGGATTTTACATTTTTTAAACTGAAAGAAGCCTTAATTTTATAGAACACATTTTCCTAGTTAATTGAGTTTTCTAAGGTAAGTCAAAGCTAGAAATGGGTATCTTTTTAAGATACTCTCATCCTCTTCTGCATGCAGATGTGTCTTTGAATATTTTTTTCCTCCGTTTCCCTAAATCCATCTATCTGAGTCACCTTTATAGCCCTCTGTCTGGTTGTCTCCTGTCTGGTTTCTACATGACCACCAGAATATTTCCTGGTAAAACACCAGTATGTTTTCTGTACCTTTTGAAATTTGTCCAGTGGACTCTATTGCCTTCAGGATGACGTTTAGTACCTCCAGCTTCTGGTCCCTCGGGGATCTTTGCGTTCCTTTATCCACCCACTGGCGGCTTTCCTCCTGTAGGCCTTTGCGTACGTGACACATGTGCCTTATTCCTACTTCTCCTGTGAGACAGTTTACTTGGTTTCCTGAACTCATCTTCTGTCCATTTGCTGGTAACAAGGGTATCCTCTGATCCTGGCCACTTGTATGTCTGTCATGACATTGACCTCAGTCCTTTGCAGTTGTTGGCTTACTTGTCCATCTTCCCCATTATTTTTTAGAACAAAAACTGTTTCATCTCCTCATCAAGGTACAGGGTCAGATATGCAAAAGCTAAGTAAATATTTGTTGACTGAGGGGAAGAAAATTTTTATGAGGAAAGAAAGGTTGATTTCTCTGGCCTGTGATAATGAAGGAAACCGAGAGCAGAGGAAACTCTTGGAGGCTTAGGATCATACTTGCCTGCAGTGCCCTTCTCAGTCCATAGAGAAGATTGCTTTGCCTCTACTTCATTTAGTCAAAGTGGCATGAGATTAGCCTGAAGGTCCATTTTCTATTCTTTGAGACCTGGGTTTCTTTGCTCACAGGTGCAAGTCCAGTTACTGAGTCATTATTACAGAGCACTGGGTAGTAACCTCACAACAGCTGTTTGATATAGACGTGGAGGTAGTGGGGCTTGGTATTAGGGTACTGTTGAATAGGTAGAAAGACCTCACCAACAGCCAGAAACTGTCTTACTCCAGTGATTCTTACCTAAGCCATGCATTCCCTCCCCTCTCACCCCCTGTGTGGACATTTTTCTGGGGAGAGTCCATAGTTTCTTAAAAGTTTCTATGACCTGGAGAAGATTAAGAGCCACTGATAAAAATACCCAAATACAAATCATTCACTGTTTTCAGAGGACATCGTAGACGTGTGTTCTAAAAATATCCTTAGTATAGAATTTGTTTAGGTGGCAACAAATTGTAGATTTCCGAGTGAATCAAAAACTACTAAAATCTGAACTATCTTCCATCTATACTGATACAGTGCTTTTATTGTCACGCATACTTTTATCATCTTGGATTTTGAAAACCGGTAGTACTTTAATCAGTCATGTTTACTGTGAGACCTGACATTCCATTGGTTTGCACCTGTGTCTCAGATACTGGTTTGGAGGAATTTGTAGTGACTCATGAAAATGAGAGATCTCTGGATGATCACTATTTAAAAAGGTAGCATTTTAAAAATTATTTTTACTATCTTTTTTAAGACACAGTTTTCCTATTTTATAGTTGTAAGCCTCAGCCTCCAGAGATTGGGACTATAGGTGCATCTCTTTCAGATTGAGAATTGCTGGCAGCAAATTTAATCTATCGCCTGTTTATTTCTTTGCACAGATTTACCATTCAGAAACCTCTTCAATTATATTCATTTGTGTGAATGGATTAGTATGGATATTAACTTGAAGCTAATTCAGACAGGAATATGATGTGGAAAACTTAGTGATATTTACCCATCTGCACTTATTAAACTGGTTTCAAAAGCAGTAGTTGTGATGCCATAATCTAGTTATTTAGACTGGATTTTTAGTAAAATTCTCAAGTAGGTGGTCCCAAAGCCAATGACAACAAGTATCCAGTAGAGGGCACTGTGAGCACTTGTTTTGCCATTTGTGGTCTGGCTCAGTTCTTGCATTTCCTTTGGTGCCGTCTGTTCATATGGAATATGTTGGTATAAAAGACAAGTTCAGTTTGCTGCTGACTAGCCAGATAAAACCGTTGCTGGATTCGTGAAAGATATATAATTAATCTTAGGAAAATTACCGTCCAAGACATTTTCTTTTCCAGTTTCTAATGCCATCAATTGTGAAGTCATTTATTAAAAAAGAATGGGCAGTTTTGTAAACAGTTATTGCTGTGATGAAAGCTAGATAGACAAGTTGCGTACTTCACTATAACATAGACATAAACACTCTGTTATTTATTGGGACATCACATTGTGTTCTAAAAATATTTTTCTTTGATGAGAACCTTTCAGTTGAGCTGTTCTTAGCACATTATGCTAGTGCTGATGTCAGGTGCTCACTGTCCTTGGCACGAAGCAGAAGTAGCTTTGAGCTCTGGCATTTTCACTGCTCCACAGCCAGCTGTCAGAAACCTTGGCATTGAGTAACAAAGTTGTTTTCAAGGTTGTTTTAAAGGCCAACCTTGGCCAACTCCATGGTGCAGTGGTACTGCGTTGCTCGAGAGAGGAAAAGCCAGATCTCACAGGGCAGCCAAATCCTTGGCCCTGCTGGCTTGGGACATGCTGGACATACACTCAGTGCCCAGAATCTGGTGGGTCGAAGGACTGAAGAAAGGGGATTGTGCCATAACAGAAATCTTTGCAGGGTATGCTTCTCTCTCTTTCCTTACTCTATCAGGTACACGTATGCTCTGCCATGAGTAAAGAAAAACATATTTTTTAAAAAAAGGACAAACTTCTAAAAGATATATTTCCAAATATTGCTTAAAAATATAAGTATATTGGGATCATCAGATGGCATAATGGTTATGTCATTGGACTTCCACATGGTTGACCATGGTTTGAGTCCTGGACCTGGCAGCTTAAAGCTCATGCTGAGTGCATGTGCACCCAGAATCCCGAAGAAGAAGGGATTGTGGCATGGCCATCCGGGGGGGGGAGGGGAGATGGGAGATTTCTCACTTTCTCTCTGTCTCTCTCTGGCACGCACACACACCCTATAGCAGAAATCTCTCTCTTTAAAACAAAACAACATATTGGTTTATTGTACACTGATGACCAGCATTATCATTTAATGGTATAGGAAACCCAGATCCAACATGACTGACTGCTATTTGAATTCTAGCCCTGGTGGCTTGAAAAACAAGTCACATATGTGTACTTGCATGTCCACAAAATCCCAACGAAACAAAGAAATGTAGGAGAAGGGACTGTAGTGTACAAACCTGGAGTATCCCGACCTAACTTTGTAAAGAAAATCACAGGGAACAATGCTGGGGTTTCCTACTAGAGCCTTTGTTTAAGCTTTATCTGTCAGGAGCTTTTTAAACTCTTATGCTGCCAACACAGTCAGATAATGTGTTTTCTTTTTTTTGGAGAGGTTTTTGCTATAGGGCGCGTGCACTCGCCAGAAAGACAGAGAGAGACAGAAAGCGAGAAATCACCCCCCCGGGGGGCAGGGAATGGCCACTCCACAGTTCCTTATCCATTCTCCTCTTGGGTTCTTGGGCGCGCGCACACACACACCCTGCATGAGTTTAAGCCACGGGACTCAAACCATGGTTGACTACATGGGAGTCCAGCAACATAGCCATTACGCCAGTTCCTGGTCCCGTGATAATGTGTTTTCATTCATACTGGTATTCAAAGACCATGTCTGAATTAGAAGGTTCTTTTTGTCATGCCTTGAGTATGCTCATAAAGAAGCAACCAACAATAACTAGCTTTCCGTATCTGTGTCGAAGGCAAATGGCTTCTAGGTGTTTTACCTGGCATAGTGACTTAAAATAACTGACAGCATTTTTTTTTTTTTTGCAAATTAAAGGTCTAGATCCTGAAAGGAAATACAGCTTTCCGAGGTGTTTATAATATCCTGTCACAGTCTTTTTGCACAGAGTTTAGAAAGCAGTGGTTTCACATATGTAAATGTTAAGCTTCCTTACAAACTATACATTGGGATCTAGTTTGCCATATTGTCTTTATTCATTTTCAGTGAAAGTGGCTTTTATGCTTGTGTACATATATGCTGCTATTAAATAGTTACATGTTCATGTCTGTCTGGGAAGGTATCTGATTACTTATGTCCTAACTTTTTTGTTAAAGTATAACTCAGACTTAGTAGGCTCTCAGGTGATGCTCGTGTCACTGGCCTAGCAAGCACTGTTTGAGAGCCACTGTTCAGATGGACCCTGGAGTCTCCTTCAGGGTTATTAGCTGTGAGGTTCAGACACAGGGATTGGGACATTTTTCCTGTGAAAGGCCAGAGAAGCAATGATTCAGGCTTTGTGCACCATTCTGTTCCTTCAGCAGCTGCTTAGCCCTGCTGTTATCAGCATGAAAACTGCTAGAGATACTAAGTACACCATGGTCGTGGCTGTGTTCCAGTCAGTAAAACTTAGGAAAATCGACCGATTGGCCAGATTGAATCCTCTGGTTGTAGTTTGCCACTACCTTTGAATAATATACCAGATATACCTCACTCTTCGGTAGGAGCCTTGGGTTGTTTCTCTGCTAAATACAGATACCAGGTTTTTGTAGTCCACCTATAGAGGTTCCAGAGCTTGTGGCCAATACCCACAGTTTCCTTATTTAAAATGTATATGATCTCCCCCCCCCATGTTATAGTTGTTAGTGAACCTGTGAGATAGTGATATATATAGTCATATATTGTAATGATATTAGAATGTATTAGAAATTATTATAAAATTAGATATTCATTTCTGAAAGCATGATTGACTTATAATTTTACCAGATCCTTCTAAATAAGCAAAAGCTATGGAGAAAATTCAACTAAATTATCTTTTAAATTCTAGTTCAGCAGAAAAATTTAGGAAGCAATAGCGTTTGCCAACTTTGGGGCCAGATAATTCCTTGTTGTGGGGGGATTGTACTGTGCATATTTAGATGTTTAGTAAAATCTGTCTCTACCCACTAGATGCTAGTAGCTCCACTCTGGTTGTAACAACTAACAATGTCTCTAGTCAGTGGCAGATGTCCCCACCAAGGTAAAATCACCTTCGTTAGAGAACCACTGCAGGTGAAAATTTAATCAAGGGAAAGGTGGGTTGATTTCTGTTCTGGGCTTGATTGGCTTATAAACCTAAAACATCAGGACTGTTCCCTGTTTTGTGTCCTTCCTTTCTTTCACATTGCCAGAGGGTACATGCACTTAGAGACAGAGGGGGAGAGAGAGAAAAACCCCTCTATTGAGGATGTTTCCACTACAGTTTCTTCTCTATTTCTGCATTTTGTTGAGATTTTGTGGGCACACCGTGTACAAAGACCTGGAGTGTTTTTCAATCAGCTGAGGCTGGGATTCAAACCCCAGTCCGCCATCTGGGATTCAGCTTCCTTTAATCAACAGGTAATGGAACCAGCCCTAGTCTTTTTCTGTTTAAAAAGAGCTGGCCTGCCGTGGTTGCATGGTAGTGGCAATACAGTGCTTCGTGATGCTGAAGGCATGTGGTAAAGCCTCAGGTTTGTGTCTGGAGGTCTCCTTATGGATATGGGGTACATGTTTGTGTGCCCGTGATTCTTGCTGGATGAGGCTGGGGATGGATTGTGGCATGAGGACCTTTTCAAGGGTATCTGCCCCTCTCTGTCACAGAGCAAATGACATAAACTTAAAAATCATAATTTAAAAAAGTTAAAATCCCCTTTTTTTCCTTATCACTCTGTTATCAGTATTAATAGGGGTTGCTATTATGGGAATTTCTAGGGAAATGTGTATATATGTATAAGATGTTGAGTTTTCCATTTAATAATGACTTTGTCACTCTTTTTTGGGAAAACAAAAACAAAAACAAAAAATTGTCCAGCTGGGCCTGTGACCTAGTTAAGCGAGCCAGATCCCACATGGCCCACCAGGGTTTGAATCCTGGCCCCAGAGGCTTGAAACACATTCCAGGCATGTGTGTGTGTACACGCACACTGAATCCTGACAGGATGGAGAAGTAGAGGAGAGAGGATTATGTTGTGACCACACCCCACTGAGGGTGCTCTCTTCTCCTTCTCTCTCTTTCTTTAGTAAGTAGAGTGCAGTTTCTTTTGGCACATCCATTTTCCAGCTAGATACCCTTAAAGATCTGATTTGGAAAACCCTTGCTTTGTAGTTATGCCTTGGTAAAACCATTCAATGTTAAAATATTGCTTTTTTTGAAAAACAGGTGCCAGAGTGGGTCATCGCTCCTTGATGAGATACTACAAACAGCGATTTGGCTTGGCAAGAGCTGTGGCAGTTGCTAAAAATCGGAAGGCTGTGGGTCGGGTGCTCCAGCAGTACAGAGCCCTGGGCTGGACTGGCAGCACAGGTACATCAGTGTTTACAATTACAGACCAGCCCAAGGCCCTGAATTTCAGGAAGACGCTTGGGCGAAGTGAAAGTTTCCATTTATGTTGGTGTTATGAATCCTTTCTGGGGGGAAACTTAACCTCTTTGCTCTGGGGCGCCCATGACCTCTTCGATTCTTTAGTGGCAACAAGCCAAAGTTCCATGACTTAAAAACTTCATATTCTTGCCACAGTAAGTTTATGTACACCATTAACTTTTTCAGAAGATAATCGTTATAAAAACTATTATTTAGTAATCATCAAAGTTTGGACTTATCCTGGAAGGTACATGGAGGAATTAAATAGCACCCTAATAGCTTGAGCTGCGAAGTCAAACATGGCTTACATGATGTTTTTAGGTTCCTATATGCTGAGTATGAGTAATTTAATTATCATTGATAGGATGGAGGTGATGATAGAGTTGGGAAAGTTGAATATCACAATGCATATGGGATTTACTGCACATGCACAAAGTTAGCTATCAGTCCCTGTTTCTAATTTTACTATAAAACTTAGTAAAAGTGAGAAGACTAGAGCAGGCTACTGAAATAGTAAACTTTGAAACCTCGTCAGTGTTATTTAAATCTATTATGATGTGTCTGCTGTATGAAGCTGATCTTTAGATCTTGAGGGGAAAAACATCATGGTCCAACTAGAGAACTATAGAGAACTTAAAGAGAGTTGCTTCTTGATGGCCTAGACAGTTCTGGGCCACTAAATAAAGCCCGTAAAAATGCCACCGTGCTTATGTGCACATGGTCCCTGGACTGTGGCTGATTGTGAGCTACGTGGCCACCTGGATCTAACGGAGGCTGGAATTAATGTCCAACTCAATTTATAGTTCTGCCTTTGCTCTGTCCAAGTCTTAGACTATGGGGCTTCACCTCTTGGGCTTATAGATCCTTGCAGATGATGAAAACTAAAGGTGCTCATCCTAAAGAAATGTATATGTACAGAAGTTCGGGATACAATTGTGGGGTGCACATAGACTCCTTGAGGCTCATTGCTTGGAGACCCCAAGTTCACAGCTCTTCTTAAATATGAGAACCCAGTTACCTCAACTTTTAGATTCTCTGCTGATTGCTTTCTCTGGTCACAAATAACCTTTGTTTCATTTCTTAACCCCCTTCCACCACAGGAGCAGCTCTTATGCGAGAGCGGGACATGCAGTATGTCCAAAGGATGAAATCCAAATGGATGCTGAAGACAGGAATGCAGAACAATGCCACCAAGCAGATGCACTTCAGGGTCCAAGTGAGATTCTGAGAGTGCCAGGACTAAGTGACCCATCTCCTGCACACTTTGCTTCTTGCCCGAGGGTGGGCAGAAGCTGAATTATACCATCGACCCTTTTGCTGCTACTTTATTTGTTCTGACCTAATAATAAAAGTCAGAGTCATATTTGCTTTCTACCGTCATTCCTGAACACTGTTTTAAGTGTGTTGTGTGTCCACTGGACTCTGGGACCTGCACTACTGCCTGGAAGTTGCTTTATGGCCTCAACTTTTAAATAATGCATAGCTGTCGGAATGATGTGGGAATCACAGGAGTGACTCGTTCACTCCAGCTTAGTTTAACTTTGAGAATAACTTGCTGTGTTATGACACTGAGACCTATGTAAGGGCAGAGGAATATTGCTCATTGAATGTGTCGTGGCTTGTGAGACAGTGAGTGTTTATGGCCCCTTTTGTTAAATCCAGGTGAAGTCAAAGAGCATGCCAGCAGCTTGCTGTAAAAGTTTTCTCTTTTTCATTGCAAGCACATGAAGAATGACAAAAATCTGTTTGTCACTCAGACCCTGTTTTCATTGCTGTCTTGACTTGAGCAGGTTAGGGGGAAAATAAAGGTAATACATGTAGTTACCATTTTAGAAAGAAAAAATTCTGTCATAGTTAAGTCTTGAGATTCTCAGGTGGCTTAGGGAAA